AATTCTGCCTAACACAAGTTGCATAATTTTTGCCAACATGAGTATATTTTTATAACAAAATAGAATTGAAATCAGGATCCAGGGCCGGCCCCGTGGCTTAGCGGTTAAGTGCGCTTGCTCCGCTGCTGGCGGCCCGGGTTCGGATCCCGGGCGCGTACCGACACACTGCCTCTCCGGCCATGCTGAGGCTGCGTCCCACATACAGCAACTAGAAGGATGTGCAACTATGACATACAACTATCTACTGGGGCTTTGGGGGAAAAATAAATAAATTATTTAAAAAAAAAAAAACCTTTAATAATAAAAAAAAATGAAATCAGGATCCAGAATGTGTGTTTGTCATAAATATAAATGTATTCTACAAACAAGAAACTGAGTTCAGGCGTGTTCCTAGCATCCTTTTGGAGCAGAAGTAAACTGACAGGCCCTGGGTGGTAATGCCAGTATGGTGGCTGTCTGTTGACTCGGCTGACTTCCTCACTAACGGCTAATATCAAAGGGAAGAATCATGTTTTCTTTGTCTTTGTATCCATAGTATACATTATTTGTTAGATAAACTAATGTATATATTTAAAACAAAATCAGAGCTCTCTTGTTGAGTTTCAACCAGTTAAAGTGAACTGGAGCAGCTTCAGTTAGGAGGAGAATGTGAGAATGCGGGGGTGTCTCGTGGACTCTTAAGAAGGAGCCATGCAGCTAAGACTCGGAAGAGAAAGGGCCGAGTGACTCTGGAGGTGTCAGCAGAGGGAGTTCTGACCCCGGGTTAGCCCTGAGCATGCCCACTGGTGTATCTGGCGACTGCCACCCTGACCTCCACGTGTCTGTTCTCGACTTTGAGTCCCTGGGAGAGAGAATCTGATTGGCCCGAGCTGAGGCAGGCAGCTACCCCTCCACCCACTGAGGCTGGGGCAGGCTGTCAGTGATACACAGTATGGACATTGCTACCATCCAGGAATCGCTGTGAGCTGGGCAGACACCCCAAGAAACGTCCATTAACGTGGTCAAAACGGAGCTGGCTGACGACAGGCAGCACGTGGTCATTAACTCGTCGAGGCAACTTGGAAAGCACAGGGCGTAGTTTGGATAGTTCTGCTTCCGTGTCTTTCTCCTGCTTGTTAAGTTCCCGTTTGTTGAACAGACATTTGTGGTGCACCTGCTGTCTGTCAGGTACTCTGCTGCAGGCTGGGTGCGGAGAGCTAAGGTCCCGCCCCTGTGCTTGGAGAGGGAGAAGGAACAGCACAAATCATAATCGAGGACGGCGTGATAGCAATACGGACAGACGCACGCAGGGCTCTGAGCCCTGGAACACTGTTCTCATCCGTGTCAGAACTGTTATCTCTCTCGCAACAGCTGTGAAAGATAATTGTAAACACACCAACAGACAATTACAGTTCCTCACTGTGTCCTATATGGGGCACCCGGGCCTAAGAAACTTACGTTAATTATATTGGAAAGGAAAGGTTAATTATAAAGCAAGCAGATTTCGTTCCTTATGAGAATCATAGGATATGAGGGGCTGGAGGTCCCCGGAGTCGTTCGGGTTAACTGCTTGTTTGGGTGTAACTGCCCTCTCTCCTTTGTTTTCTTCCTCTTCCTGCCTCTTTCTCCGTAAACTTGTCAGGTCTCCGCCTCTGTGATGCTGAGGTGTGTGAACACTCACGAGTAAGTGGATTATAAAGGATTATGAACTGTAACTTATGGCAGCTTTCTTCTCTCCACTGAGAGTAGTTGCAGGTTTCCTGTTCTCGCATGAGGTTTAAAAAACTGAATATGGACTAAAGGCCACTAAAGTCATAGTAATTTGGGGAAAATCATTAAATTATAAAGGGATAACTTGGCTGATTTGCACTAACTTGGTCCAGTTAATCATGATTTCTAAGTAAGAATTTATGTGCAGCCGTATTTTTAATGCTGGTAACCTTTGAGAGAGATATGAAAGCCATCTGCTTAATTACTGCCAAATGTGCTCCGCCCCGTGAGCTCTGAGTCTGGAGCAGACGTGTCCTGTTGGCGTCCAGCTCTCAGCTGGAGCTGAGCTCTGTCGTGTTATTCGATGGGGGAAACTGATGGGAAAGGGAATTACCACCGGGAGAATGCCGTTACTTACCCAGCGGTGGCTGCTCACTTCTGTGCATGAGCAGACTGCTGAGGGACGGATTATGCTCCTGGAAAAACAATGGCCATCTCTTCTCATAATAGTGCAGACTCAAGGCATCTGTGATGCTGTCAGGAAAAATAGATGTATTCTTCATGTGCTGTGTCACTTGAGGATTTTAGTTTTTCTCCCTTTTGCTCTGGTTTGGCTCATGTGCTAGATAATCCAAGAATCTGAGAAGATTAGAGCAAGAAATGGCACCTAGACTTCATCTCTTTGTTTGTACTCTGCCTCATTCCACAAAGACTTTACATCAGCTTGGGATTCTTAGGTTCGGCCCATGTACTTAAGAGATCAGGAAACTGAGGCTCTTAACAGTGATTTCCCCCAAATCGCACAGCTGGTTAGTGGTGCTGCTGGAACTGACACTCCTGCCTCTGTCTCCTTATTGAGTGAGTGATCACGACTTCTGGGTTTTTTTTTTGGATAGCTATGTTCAGTGCAAACTCTTTGCCCAGCAGTGTGTTTGCCCCAGAGGATGTAATAGAAGGAAGGACGTGAGTCCCATCCCTGGAGTGCTTGCCATCTGGGGGAAGACAGATTTGAAGCAAATGTTTGTACAAATCAGTTAGGTAAATTATAAAGATACAACTGGGATCATTGTATAGGATGGTATGAGCATATAGTGGAGGTCCCAGAAGGCTTGTTTCAAGAAATGACATTTAGGGTGAGCTATGAAGAAGAAACAGAAATGAATCAGACAAAGGATTGGTTGACAGGCATGCAGAGCAGAAGAGAATAGGTGAGAGAGGCCCTGAAGTGGATGGAGCTTGGCTCAGCTGAGAGGTGGACAGAAAGCCTCTGGAGCCGAACAGGAACAAAGTGAGCAAGGAGAAGCGAGAACACGAGGGGCCGGAGATGGGGGCTGGGGCAGGTTGCTCGAGGCCTTATGGCCTCCCCAACAATTCTGGACTTGATCCTAATTGCAATAAGAGGCTATCGGAAGATTTTAAGCAGAGGATAGAAATATAATCAGATTTATATGTTAGACCATAATAACTCTGCTGAGTGAAGAATGGGCTGGAGAGAGAATGACGAGTGTAAGTAGAGAGACCAAATAGGAAGCTCTTCCGTTAACTCAGATGAGTCATGATGATGCCTCTAGGATAGGGTGGAAAGAAGTGGAAAGACTCCAGATACGTTTTGAAGGTAGAATCAACAGAACTTCTGGATGGGTTGGATATACACTTGAGGGTGAGAGGTTTTTTGTTTTTTATTTATTTATTTTTTTTTTTTTGAGGAAGATTGGCCCTGAGTTAACATCTGTTGCCAATCTTCCTCTTTTTGTTTTCCTTTCTCCTCCCCAAAGTCCCAATGCATACTTGTATATGCTAGTTGTACCTCCTTCTAGTTCTTCTGTGTGGGATGCTGCTACAGCATGGCTTGATGAGCAGTGCATAGGTCCATGCCCAGGATCCGAGCCTGCGAACCCCAGCCTGCCAAAGGGGAATGCGTGACCTTAACCACTACGCCACCGGGCCAGCCCTGAGGGTGAGAGGTTTTAAGAATGATTCCTAGGTTTCTGGGTGGAGAATGTCGGCATTTACTCAGGTGAAGAGGGTTGATTGTGGAAGCCCTGGGGACTGAGTGGGACAAAGAGCTCTATTCTGTTTGAGATGCTTGAAGGCATCTGGTGGAGATAGTAAAGCAGAAGCTGGACATGCAGATCCTAAGCTCAGAAAAAGAGCTGGGCTAACTGTGAATGTGGAAGACATCAAGATATAGATAGTCTTTGAACTTAAGGGATTAATTCACCTAGTTGGGGTTATTAAACTCACACTGGAGAAGAAGGATGGGTGGGTTATAAGTTTAATAAAGAAAGGCATTTCAGGTAGAGGCAGTGATATGATTAAAGCACCAGAGCAGGAATGACTTGGACCAATGGATCTTTTCCAGTTGGTGAGAAGTAAAAAATAAACTGGGGCTGGATTTTAAGTGCCCTCCCAGGTTAGGTAGTGGCTGTCCCACATGCAGTGGTCATTTGGAGAGAGATCTGTGAACAGTCTTAGATCTTTGCATACCAGTAAGAAGCATTTTTGTGAGCTTCCTCCTGGGGTTATATTATGAAACCTAAGTCAGACTTCGCATAAATCATGAGATAATTATATTGGTCGTGCATCATGAATGACAGAAAGTAAAGGATAGATCTCACACAGAACTACCGCCTACCATTTGCTAGTAACATAGTGGAAATAAGTCCACATGATCAGAGCTGGTGTTCTAGGAGCTGTTCTATGCCTGTCACCGTGTGATGAAAGGTCAGTTCCCACCTTCTCTGCTCCAGTTAGTGTACGAGGAGGAGAAGTGACCTCACCCACAAAGCACTGTCTGGACCTCTGCTGTCCCCAGCCATCACTCCTCCTCACCCTATCCACCCACGCAGGCCTGCCGTATCCACCCCATCCTCCTTCATTCGGCAGAACAAAGTTAGAAGCCAAGTGAGGAGCCTGGGAACCTTTCTAGTTCAAAGAACAAAATGCTCTGGACGTTAATGGGTCCTAAAGTTTACATACGCCCATTTGAAAAATGCGTGCTCCACTGTGCTGAAAGAGTTGATGCCTTTCCTGAGTTTTCCCCCACAGCACCTGACGTACTAAGCAGGATTTGGCTGACGCCTCGCATTGTCATTCTTTGTCACTAGTAATTATATCTCAGGATCCCTTGAGCACATCTCTTTTTGTGCCTAGTAGCTTTGTATGCTTGAAACCAGTACATGTTTATGTATGTTTTTCATTCTGAGGTGCCGTGCATGCATTTTCAACTGACAGTTGCAGAAATGATTGTAATTTGAGCCAGGAACTTAGCATTTACTCTGTACTGATTCTGCCTATTTTAACGTCCACAGAAATGAAGATGCGGTCCACCAGATGGCTGTTACTCCCTTTCCGTTACCGTCCACTCCTCCATCTTCTGTTGAGGTAAGATGGCCCCTAATTAGCTCAAGTGAGTTACATGGATTTGTCGTGATCATTTTTCCCAAAGCTAACATTTTTAATTTTCAGTATCTTGTATTCCAAACTCGTAGAATTTATTATAGGGAATTTCCCTAATTAAAATATAAAATATTTGAGGTATGATTATAAAGTAATATAAAATAACGTTAAACAAACACATTAGAGCTTAACCATGTGGATATTACCTTCCTCAAAGTTTCTTAAGGTTTCTTCTAGATATATAATTTGTCCTAATTGGACATTTCAGAATTTATTAGAAAATTCTCTTTTTTAGTGACTAAATCGTGCCTCTTTCTTTATGGTTGCAAAAGACTTTAATACCTATGATCACAGGTACCTTTAAATAATTATTTTCATCTACTAGTGGAGAAATTACTAGTCAACAAGATTGCTGTCATATCAATCTGCTCCTAGAGTTAGACAGACAGACATTAGAAAGATAGATAGATAGCTAATTAGCTATGTAATCAGTGTGTCTCTCCAGCTGAGGAATATTGCATTCTCTTGACCTTTCTTATTTATCACACACTTATTGTAACTAATCAAACAATGCAGGTTCTTAGAAGAAAAGGTTAACTTTCCCTTCTCCACTTCCCCAACGAAGTTAATATTCACTGTTTAGTATCTTTCCATACTTTTTCCTTTGCTTCTACAACAAAAGTAAACAGCTATATATGAATAGCGTCTCTTTTAGTGTGAATGTGGTCATGTAACACACATTGCTTTCATTCAGCGAGTGTTGAGTGAGTGCGTTTCATGTGTCAGGCACTGTGCTGGGTGTGAGAGAGACAGGTGTGAGTAGAATAGAGGAGGCTCCTGCTGCGATTCAGCTTTGCATCCCAATGAGGAAATCAACTGACAGATAAATAAACCAAGAGAATTATCAGTAGTGCTCAGTGCCTTGCAGCGAATTAAAACAGGTGACCATCTTGACTGGTCCTGGGGAAGGCCTCTTGGGCAAGGTGAAATTTAAACAAGATCAAAATGATAAGAAGGAGCCAGACAGGCAGAAATAAGGGAGAAGAGCCTTTTCTGCAGAGGGGACAAAAATAGCTCTCAAGTGAGAATGAGCTGGGGGGTTTGAGGAATGAATGTGGCTGGAGGGTGTTGGGAGCCTGGAGAGTAGTGGCCTGTGAGATGGGGGGGGGGAGGCCTTCGTGTGTCAGAGTAGGAAGCTTGGGTTCTTTTCTATGGGCAGTAGAAGCCACCAGAAGGTTTTAACAGGGGAGTGTGGTAACATGATGGACAGAGTCCTAGGTAGAGAGCAGACTACAGGAAGGTAAGAGCCACATGCAGGAGGGCAGAAGCCCAGGTGAGACCCGACTGCAGTTAGACGAGGATTACTGGCTGGTGTTGGAAGCAAAGGAAAGTGAGCTGATTCTTGGTGTCTTGAATGTTGACTCAAATGTGATTGAATAAATGTGGGAGCTGAGGGGAACTAGAGAATCATGGATAAACCCAGATTTTTGACTTGAGCAACTAGGTGGACAATGGTGGCATTTTTGAAAAGTAGCTATTCTTCAACAGAGAGGCAGAGATTTAGGTAGTTAAAGTTTGAGATGCATATTATACATCCTTCTGGTATAGACTCTATGCATTAAAAAGAAAAACCTTGCTTTTTTTTGCTTAATTTAATGACCATATTTTAATATGCTCTGTTATAATTTTTTCCAATTGACAGATATTCAGATGATCTTCCAATGTTTTGCCAGTAAAAGAAGGCCAATATAAGCGTCTGTGTGTGTGTGTGCATCTGTGTGCATCATTAGATGCTAGTGCTTTTATTTCTGTAGCGTAGATCCCCCCAGTGTACAGTTGCTGAGCCAAAGGCTATACAAGTTCAAAATTTTAATCTATTTGACCAATTACTATCTGAAAAGATTGTAGTGATAGATATTGACTGCTCACTGATAGCCATTTAGCCACAGCTTTGCCAGCACTGGGTGTTTTCATTCTAATTCAGACCAGGGTAGGTGGTTAGCACATGGTGGGAAGGAGGGGCACCAGAGCCAGGCTGCATTCAGGTCAAACCCTAGCACAGCCATGCTCTGGGCATGTGGCCTTGGGTCGTTACAACCACCTCTTCTGTCCTCACTCCCTCATCTGTAGGGAGATAACAATAGTTTCCACCTCATAGTGTTGTTAAGATTAAATAAGACATGGGCTGGCTCTGTGGCTTAGCGGTTAAGTGCACGTGCTCCGCTGCTGGCGGCCCGGGTTCGGATCCCGGGCACGCACCGACGCATCGCTTCTCCGGCCACGCTGAGGCCGCGTCCCATATACAGCAACTAGAAGGATGTGCAACTATGACATACAACTATCTACTGGGGCTTTGGGGAAAATAAATAAATAAAAATTTTAAAAACAGGTTAAATAAGACATATATATCTTGTACCTGCCACATGGTAGCTGCTCAGTAAAGGTTAGTACTTAATTCTGAATTCTTTTGTATTTATAGAATGTCATATAAATCTTTTGAAGAGGTGAGAGGGAATAAGGGGAGTCACATTTTAAAATAATTTTTTCTATAGTCTTGTTGGTTATGAATGTTACCATCAAAATATCATTCCTTTGGAACTAAATTTTAAGGGGATGATTGAATCCAGTGTCCACTATGTGGAACACTATCTTAGATGCTTTCCATATGTTGTCCCATGTCCCACTTACATCTAGACCTCTGAGACAGTATTATTATTTCCACTTTACAAAAGAAGAGTCTGGGGCTAGAAAGGCTGAAGAGCACATCCGTGTGCCCAGAGGCAGAGGTGTTTTTCAGCATCATCTTCCTCTTCTATACCTAGGGGTGTTACCACCAAACCTTCCTAGCCTTGTAACAAGTAAAGGAAGTGATGTATATAAAGCATTCAGTACAGCTCATGGTGCAAAGGAAATGTCAATAAATGCAAACTATTTGTTCTATTTATTCAAATATTTAAGTATATTTAACTCAATTTTTAAGTATATTATACAGTATTAGCTACTGTTTTCATTTTTTCAATTGTGCTAACCACAGAAATGGTTCTAATCATTAGTCGCCTGTAAAAAATAAATTTTATTATAATATGTATGAATTGAATTATAAAGAGAGTTTTTTAGTCTCTCTCTAGACTATTAGCCTCCGATAACCACCACCACGTGAGCAGAGACACCCTCCTGCGGTGGCGTGGGAAGTGTAGAGTGTGCTCTGGTCCACGTCCTTCTTTGTCCCTTCCCGTTCGCCTGTGTGGCCCCTTCGCCGTGCCTTTTCCCCCTCAGCTGTTTCTAGTAAGTACGTAAGCATGACTCATATCTGACGTGTTGCTGAGAGAGCTAGCCCGTTTAAATCGAAACCAAATAGACGAAATATCGCCGTATTGTTTAATTACTTAATTGTTGGACCTGATAATAATAACTCAGCATGTTGAATAGCACTGGTGTTATATGCTAATGGGATTCATATTCATTCCTTTATGGGGCCCTTATTGTGTGTCAGGCGCTGGTCTAGAGACCAAGGGACAGCAGAGAACAGGATCGCTCTGTGGGGCTGTGTGCTGGTGAGTGAACGGGGGTGCTGATAGAACACAAGAAGAAGCTTGAAGGTGTGGGTTCCTCCTCTCGCTCCACTGGTTACTGTGGGGCATCTGCCCTTGGTAAAGGCGGTTAACCCTCAGAGTCTGCCGTTTTCTGTGAGGCCAGGTTCATAGCCTCCCCTGCCTGTGAGGACAGGTCCTTAGGAGGAGCAAGTACAAAAGGAGGCGACAGTGTTTTGTAATCCGTGCAGCCATGTACACATATAAGGGACTGCTAGCATTTCTCCTGCTGTCCTCTTGGTAATTGTCCTGTTCTTGGGCGGCTGCGGGCACAGTGATTAAGAACTCAAGCTTGGAAGTGAGACAGGTCCAAGTCCTAGTCTTTGTTCTGCTTTGACCAGCAGGGTCAGCTTGGGCCAGTGAAGCTCTACAAGCTTCCATTTCCTCAAGTTCAAAAGGGCTTTGATGATAATGATTAATTCTAGGGATTTGTGGAGGAGTTGAATGATGTTATAAAATGCTTAGCCTTGTTCTTGGCACACAGTGAGCATTCGTTTCAGTTGTGATTATACTTATTTTGTTACAGCCCTGAGCAGAACTTCCAGCCCCCCGCATGTTCCATTTTCAACAGTTGCATACAAGGCAGGATTTCTTTTCTTATGTATTTACTATATTTGTCCTCTTCCTCAAAAATCTTAACTACCTCCTTCTTGCTTATCAGACCAAACCTTCGTTTCGAGGTTAGAATCGAGGCTTGGTATTTACCTCCACACACTCCACCAATCACCCTTCTCTTCTCAGAAGAGCAGGTAGAGCGCTGGCGTCTCGTGGATCTGTCGGTCCTCCGCACGTCAGGGTCTCTCCAACCCTCCTGTCTTTGTTCCTGTTCTTTCTTCCACCTGGGATGCCTGCCCACTTCCCCTTTATTAATTCACAACCCTAATTCCTTGAAGGATTGCTTTTGGGAAGACTTCTCCAAGTTTCCTGTGACTCAAATGAATAAAATCATGTGCAGAGAGTAATGAGCTGAACCCTGGAATATAGTAAGTGCCCGAATGTGGGATACTGTTCTCACGACCAACTCCATCCCCCTGTTCTCTTCAGGAGTCTTGACTCTCTTCACGGGGAAATGTCACTCTTGATTCATTTAAAAGTAGAAGGTACCCTTTGTCCTTCGTGTGGGTCCCCTGGGCTGTACAGAAGAAGAGACCCATTTCTAACTGGGTCTCTCAACGAGGGTCTGTGACTTGCCCTTCCCTCCTTGTCTCGGTGTTGTGAGAACGTGGCGCTGTAGGCACCGCACTGCATGTGAGCTGCGGGGACGGGCTTCTTGTCTTCTTCACGCTGGCTGCTCGGTGCCAGCGCAAGGCACTCGCTTAATAAGTGCTTGTGGAGTGAGTGGCAGGAGCCGTATTTTGGCTTTTCCACTGTATCCTTGATTTTTCATTTCAGTTTTGAATTCTTACTTCTTATT